AACAGCCACCCTTAACGACTTTTCACATCTCAAGGTCGAAAATAGGCTTAACTGGCCTCCTAAGTGAAGCCTTGATTGGTATTTCCCACATCATTAGTAACACATCGGTTGTGCGGTCTTTTCTCCTACGTAGATGTAGAAACTCTTCAATGTTCTCATGTTTACAGTAAACTTCTTCATTCACCTTACATGTCGTGGACTGCACGCTCCATTGGCTAATGCGGACGTCATTTTATACTTAAATGATCGTTCTCTTCGATTTAGGCCCGTCATGTAAAGCCCTGGGATCCGCTTTTAACTTTCAATCTGGCTCTTGTACAGAAGCGAATGGCCGTCCTTGTTCTCAGTGACGAAACAAGTAGTTTCAGCGCTGTATGTGAAGCCATTGCAGACTTGAATATGGCTCGCTGGTAAGTCCCACAACTATTGGATATTATCTTCTTTTTCTTTTTAAATACGCCTTTTGGTCCCATAGGGACCTTGTGTGTATTGTGCAATCTTTGGGTTTACTCTACCTCTACTATCAAAACTATGCACATATCCTTTGACGAGCTTTTACGGAGCTTACGTAGGATGATCGGCGCTCAAGAGTAATGCGAGTTACACGCTAAAGAACGAAGCTTTGTAAACGTTCGAGTGATTTAGGATAAGTGCTTTCTCCAGTAGTTTCGCTTTTTTCCGTTCTCCATCAGTTGATGTTTTGCTGTTATACCCAGTGCACCAAATTAAGTCAAAGCTCGTAGCATTGAACTTGTGGACGGAACTTCTTTTTTTATGTTTACAATGTGTGTGTGTGTGCCGTAACCCTTGTTGGATCAAGAGTCCCGCCGGAGTCCAAACTCGTTGTAGTTGGAAGACGGAGAAAAGTTGAGACCTCCACCGGCTTGAGCCAAAGGTTCGTGGGGGTGAGTTGAGTACCTGCCCGGAAACTACAGGCGGAAAGATGCTGACAGTCATGCGGAGAAACGCCGCAATCGGGCCAGTAGTCGGATGTAGACAGGTCGAGTCGGTGTTGGTACTGGCGGAGGAGCATTGAGTAGCCACTGCGTAGTTGAGCCAAGGTACAACGAGTGACCCTCAGGAGTTGTTGTTCCGAGGCCGCAATTGGAGTTGGACAGCCGCCCAAAAGGACCGTGGAATGGTAGCTTAGTTTTGATTCGACAACGGCTCTCTGGTGAAGGCGCTGGAAGTCTGTCATGGTGTCAAAGCCACCAATGGGTGGATCCGAGAGGCACGAGGCGACAGCCTCCTTGTGGAGAGCTCTACTAGACGGCCGAATGCTACGGCTGTGTTCAGGAGCATAGCAATGGTGTATGCTGCTAGTCGTGGGTCAAGGTGATGCTGCCGGTATCCTTGTCACCGCTCATGGGGCTGGTGGTTGTGACGCTATTGCTCACGATAATAGTAATAATAATAGCGTCGATTTCTGATTTCGGTTTCCAACCCCAAGCAACTTATGAAGGTTGCCATCGAAATATTAACCTCTTCCTCTGTTTTTTTAAAAAAAATAGCACTTTCGACCACCTCTCCAAAGCGAACGAAGTTGTTAACCAGTCCATGGCAGCTGACGAAGCCAAGGCCTGCCAGGATTTGTTGAGTCAAGCGAAGTACCACCTGGATCGGGCAAAATCAAGAGAAGAGCAGGAGCGAGTCTTCCGTCAGCGTCAGGTATGTTTTCTCATAGTATGATTATAGAATTTGGTTTTCATGCCTCGCATATCCTGCAGACACATTAGTGATTTGCGCTTTAATGTAACTTCAGGCTAGGCATCACTTATATGGCCCTCTGAACAGAACAGGGGAATAGGAACGATCCCGTGCAAATAATAAAGGTGACCCTGTGCATTTTTCCATGAGGGGGGAAGTGTTCCCGTATCCTGAAGGCAAAAGGGCCTGAAATAGCAATTTCTGTTTTATTAGCCGCCGCTAGCCAGTCATACCCAACCCCTACGGCTGTGTTCATAGCTGCTCTTGCCGGCCGTGGCATGTACG